TGGCAACTTCCCCCTGCAGTGGCTTCCTTCTCTATTTTCCATAATGACCAGGTTTTCCTTTTCCCCAAGACTGCACTACAAAAATCAGTCGTGTGTGTCCATGGGTTGGTCCCTCTCCCTGTCATTTTTCAGGGATCTGTTGCTCTCTCCTGGTCGGTGTGTGGCCATCCACTGGGTGCAATGTTGACATGAACACACAAGATTGGTTTCTTCCCTGTATTTTCCTTTGCCCTCGTTTATCTCCTCTTCTTTCTGTTTCTCTGCTCTCCTTTCGTTGCAGCTTCTTTGTTTTTTGGTTTGGTTTTTTTTTTTTCTTTTTTTTTTTTTTTTTTTTTTTTTTTTTTTTTTTTTTTTTTTTTTTTTTTTTTTTTTTTTTTTTTTTTTTTTTTTTTTTTTTTTTTTTTTTTTTTTTTTTTTTTTTTAATTGAAAAGCACTGCCAGAAGTGCCTCCATCCATAAGCAAATCTTGGTTGTGCCCTGGGGCGCAGCCCTGAGACAAATGGGTGATGCATAAACTGCACCAGCCCAGGAGTAGTCCCAGGAGACGCTGTGACTCAGAGCCAGCCCCTGGAGGCATCATTTCCTCCTGTTTTCCCTCTGATGGGGATTAAGCTCTGTTTGTTCCCTTCTTCTTCTGCATACTCCCTGCTTTGGTTCCCGGGAAGGAGCTGACAGGCAGGGAGGGAAGAGCTCTCTGACTTCTCTGGGTAGACCTCCAGGTGTGAACCAGCCAACAGGCAAGGTCACAGTGCCACGAGGAGACTCTGGGAGTTGGCTCGTGCCCTGTTTCCCTTCCTGGACTGAAGACAAAGAGCAAACACCAATCCATTGTCCCTCTTCCAGGACAGGAACCCAAAAGCACAGATACAGCAAACAGGACAGGTGCATCTGAGGCTGAAGAGGCTGTGAGTCCATGCTGGGTTCACCGCTCCTTTGTGCCAACGCTGAGCCCTCAAGCAGGGTGGCACTGCTGTAAATCCCAGGGTGATGGGGCTGAGTTCGTGCCTGATACCCACTGAAGGAAGTCCCGGTGCCCACAGAGGAGGTGAGACCTGTTTGTGTAGGCTGGCGATCCCGATCTGGAATCAGAAGTAGAGCAGCATGGAAAGATGTGGAGTCAGAGGGGCCAGCACTGCAAAGCTGGCATTTGGTTCCGTGTCCAAACTTACCAAACTCTGGGCTGGTTCAGAGTCTGGGCTTTGTCCATTTTAAACTGTGCCACTTTCATAGGAGGGAATGGCTGTAGAAATCAGGTGTGGAACAAAATTTGGCTTGAGTGTGAGGCTGTTCCAGCTCATGGGGCGTGGTGGGGAGGGTGGGTTGGTTCACCATCATGTAAATTAATGGGTGACAGTCGGTCCTTCAGAGTCATGTTCACGACAGACTTGTGGTCTAAAGCTGTTCCTAAGTGCCCTGGGGGAAGCCTGAACGAAGTGCAGAGGGTGGGTGTACTAAGTGCACTTCCCACTGCTGGTGACAGGATTCTCTAAGGAGGTGGCAAGGGCGAACACTTTCCCTTTCCTCCTCTGGGAACGAGCTGGGATGCTCAGGAGATGGATGTCCCACACCCTGCAGCGAGTGTCCAGCCCCAGGAGACTCACTCTGCGCTGTGTGTTTCCAAGGAAGACTCACTGGCTGATTGAGCCACAGCTGGTGCAACATCCCCATTTGTGGGACTGTCTCCTTCTCAACACCCACACCCCCTGAGTCCTCTTCACTTCACGTGCCAGGCACTGAACTTTTCCATGTTGTGCACATCATCTCTGTGCCAACAGGCCATTGGCAGGAAGCCATCAGCAGTTGTCTCTCTTTCTCTGCTTCTTCTTCTCCCTCTTCCCCTTTCTCCAGATGTCACTGAATCCTGTGTCGAATCTGGCAGAAGCAGCTAAGCTAAAAAGTCCACACGAAGGGCCTGCCCACCCTACAGCTCTATTATATGCTTGCAGACTTCTCTGGTTCCAGGGCAGAAGCAAAGAAGTCATGTTCTTTTTTAAAAAAAAAAAAAAAAAATTAAAAAATTAATTTATCTGCTTTCATTTCTTTTGCTGCTGGTGCTCGCATCACACACAGAGTCTGGCCACTGGGGTATGGAGATGGAACCTCTTGGAAAGCTCAGTGCTGCTGTCCATCACAGCCTCTGCCTGGCTGAGGGAAAAAGGAGATGCTTTGGAAGATGCAAGTCTTTCAAAGGACACTTAAAACCACACGAGTCACTTGAGGTGGGCGGGAGCACAGCACATCCACGCTTTTTTCTCGTGCTCTTCTTCCCAGCTCCGTGGCCTTGGTTGAAAAGCCGCTGTCCCCGCTGGGGCACAACTCGTGTGGCTGCCACTTGTACCTCAGGATAGCCCAGAAGTCCTTAGACCTATTCTATCCGACCAGTCTCAGCCTTTTATTTATTTTTTTTTGCCCCCTTTTTTTTTTTAATCCCCCCCCCAAAGTTTTTATTCTTTTAATATTAAAAAAAACAAACAAAAAAAACCAAAAAACAAAACAAAACAAAACAAAAAAAAAACCAAACAAAAAAAGTCGACTCCTCTCAACGTCCGCAAAACCTCAGAGCGAGGAGGCTCAAATCCAAAGGGTCCCTTTCCTCCCCCCTGCTCTTTATTTGCACGTGTGGACGTCGTAGACTCGTATGCACTCCTGGCACCGCACGTAGCAGCACCAGTGGAAGATGCAGTGGCACTTCTCCTTGCGCTTCTCAGTCCTCGTGTTGTGGCCGCGGCCGCAGCACAGCAGGTCGCAGCCGTCGATGCCGTGCGAGGTGACGTTGCAGATCCTGTCCCGGGTGCCGAAGGAGCCCGTCTCGGGGTTGGGCTCGCAAAAGTTCGGGGAGTTCTCGTAGTACACCAGGTCCTTCTCGGTGGGAGCCTTGAAGAAGTTGTACTTGGGCCGCAGGGTCTCGACCCAGCCGCGGGACTCGCGGTGTTTCTCCACCACCATCTCCGAGGCGCTGTCGTACTTGTCCTTGAGGTAGTCCCCGATCACCCTGAAGTCTGGCTGGGACCACCAGCAGGTCTTCACTTCGCAGCTGCCCGAGAGGCCGTGGCACTTGCACTTGAGGTGCATGAGCTCAATGATGGACTGGAGAAGAGGAGAAAGGCAAAGGGGAAGGAAAGGCATTAACCTGCAATCAAAACACTTCTGGCACACTGATATTTAGCCGTGGTTTCCTAAAGAATTGCCAATTATTTCATCTATTCGCATTTCATCTATTCGTATTTCACCCATTCACATTCATATTTCATATACTTGCACGCTTGTGAACAAAAAAAAATCACCTCATCTCCTCAGTCAATGCCCTGCTCTGAGGCCGGATCTAAGGAACGTAAATCTTCTGCAGCTTTGTTGTTTTCTGATTTTGTTGTAGTTTGGATTCCCACCTCAAATTTAAGCATATACCAAGAGCTTCCAGAAGGGGATAAAGGGATTTCTGAGCATATTTAACTCATATCAATGCTCACGTGGGAATATTGCAGTGCTGTCACCCAACGATTCAGGCACACCTTGGGCAGAGAAGCGAAGTACACACAAAACTGCTCCAACAATGTCTCCATAAATAAAATATTCAGCTGTCCCACAGGAAATGAGGAAATGTGAAATTTCCTAACTCTCTAGGACAGAATTCAACGCTTTACCCAGAACAGAATCCTGCCTTTTACATATGTTTTATGTTTACTTAATCAAACAAGGTTCTAGTCTTGCTGTGGCTACATCCAGAAACCAAAACATAATTTATTGTCACATTTAAGCCATTTCAGAAGTTAAAAAAAAAAAAAAAAAAAAAAAAAAAAAAAAAAAAAAAAAAAAAAAAAAAAAAAAAAAAAAAAAAAAAAAAAAAAATAGGAGCCCAACTTCTGCTTTTGAAAGGCTCAAACTTCAACACCAAACACTGTCCTGGAGCAAATGCAAAGGTGATTATCGACCCCCAGGAGGTGACTATTTGGTTTTACACCTCTTATGAAGAAATTAGCTTTAACGTTTCCAGAGGTGGTTGCCCTCCAGGATTCCGAGGTGGGAGACGACCTTATGCAACAGGCTCGATAATCTGCATTTTCAGACCGATCAGCAAATTTCTGGGTACGTGAACAGACTCGTGCCAGGCTGAGGCCAAGAGATTTGCCATGAATCAGCACCTTGGTGCTCACCAGGTGCTTTCCTGGGTTATTTACGGAGTATCACCCGCCACAAAGAGGTTGTAATTAGCGATGAGAGGGAACCACAACATGTTTGGTTCGTATAATCACGCTGAACTTAATCAAAACTGCTGGCGGAGTGGCAGGGCTGGAGTTCCGATGGGAACTGCGATGAAACGTTGCCTGTGGCTCGGGTTTAGCTGGGAACACTTGGCTGTGGAGGACTGGAAGAGCTACTCCATGAGTGCAGGCGTGGTGAGAATGGAAAAGTGCTTTATGAAACACTAGGATTTTTAGATCCTTTGACACCTGTAAAATGGCCTAAAGTAACTCAGTGTCAAAGAACAGGGTTTACAGTAAAAAGGCCCCTGCAGGCCTGTGATCAGAGCTCGTTTTTCCCAAGGATTCTCACTTTAAAGCAAATCCCTCCTTTCCACTCTACGCATCCTCTCCACAATCCTCCTTTGTCCCGTTATCTATCCCAGAAACTTCCACCAGCAATGCACAATATCTGGGGTTCCCTGGGAGAATTTAGGCCAGAGCTGGAGGAAACCACATGATTGCTTGTGGTTGTCCACACTGGAGACAGTTTTAGTTTCTGGTGGTATTTCTTTTCCAAAAGTCGTATTGGAAGGGCTCTGCTGTGGTGGGAGGTGGGACAACTCCCCTGGGATTTCAGGGTGCCCACCTGAGGAGCTCACCCCAAAGTCCTGCTCTGCCTGAGCACAGTTGTTTCCTAGCACAGCACAGCTGTGGTGGCTTTGCCCTGATGTCCTCCCAGCCATGTGCCAGACCTTCTGCTGAGGGAACAAGGCCATATTAATCTGCTCTTTGATATCTCAGAGAAGCTGCATCCCGGTCTCCATCAGCAAGGACTTCGTGCTTTGAGTTTCACAAATTGTTTCCCACAAAATACACTCTTTCTGGAATTTATGGGATATTCTTGAGAGGAAAAAAAGAATATCCTCTTAGTGGGATTATTCCACCCAGGGAAAAGGTCCCCTGTGTGAGGCAGCCACTGTGATGGGGGAAAGATTTTTTGTGCTTTCTTTTCCCTGACACATTTTTTCCCCTTGGTTGTTTGAAGTAAAACCAGCTTTAGGGCATGGTCTAGGTTTGATCAAAAGGTACTACAGCCACACTGCCTCTAATTTGCTTCAGATATTTCCTGGGAAACAGAACAGTGCTGAGAAGAGGGGTGGTGGGAAATGGTCCCCTGTTCTTCTCTTCCCTCAAGCCTGCAAAGCAGAGAGGTCATCCCATGGGGATGGACAGCTGCACTCCAGCTGGGATTCAGTTGTCTAAACACCTGCATTTAATGCCATTTTTGAGTGTCAAAGGGATCATAAGGCATTGGCTGGACCAGATGATCTCCAGAGGTTCCTTCCAACCCCAGCCCTTCCGTGACTCTGGGATCAGCCCCAGGATGGCAGATCTGCAGGAGACACGCTGTCTTCCCAAGGACAGGTTGGATACTTCAAGATATCTCAGCTTATGCCAAAATGCATTTTCTTAAGCAGCTGAATCCACTCCCTAAGCCCTGATCCACCTGAACTTCAGACATCCTATAGCCAATGGATGGGAACAGGCCCAGTTAGGGCGTTGTGATTGAATTATTGATTCTAATCATGGAGCCACAGAATGGTTCGGTTTGGAAGGGACCTTAAAAACCATTCAGTTCCAGCTCCCCTGCCGTGGGCAGGGACACCTTCCACTAGACCAGGTCGCTCAAAGCCTTGGACACTTCCAGGGATGGGGTGTCCACCACTTGCTGATGCCCTCACTAAGCTGGGATGAAATCCCATCCTAGACCTGTCCAGATCCATTCTCTATAATAAAGACCTCTGGACTACTGACTCCAAGGCAGACATTTGCATGTGGGTGGGTGAATTTACCTGGAGCCTTCATGGATCACTTCCATCGATCACCTCCCTGACAAGAACTATTACCATCTTTCTGAGACGTAAACCTGCCCAGACACAGGACTGGTCGCTCCCCCTCCATCCCCTCCCACGGTTCATCACGGCAGGCAAGAAAACACGAACGGGAGGTGGGGAAAGGCAGAACTGAGAAGTCCTTACGGTCCTGCCGGCCTCGTTGTTGTGCCGGTTCATGGCCGAGCGGGCGTCGGGCCTGTTCTCCCGCGCGTCCGCGAACTCCCGGGACACCATGCTCCCGAACTCCACGTCCTCGCTGCAGCCCCCCCACTTCCAGCCTTCCCCGGGGGAGCCCTTGTGGCGGGTGTCGCAGCCGCAGATGGTGGCGGAGCCCTCGGCGCAGGACCTGGTGACGGCGAAGGCCACTCCGGCCGAGGCGATGGCGTGGACGAAGGCGGATTCCCTGGTGGCTGCGGGAGAGAGAAAGCGGGGAAATGAGGGACCGCACGCGGGGTTTGGTCAGCCCTGTGATCGTCTCCTCTCTCTCTCCAGGGCGTGGCAGGAGGCCAGGAAACTCTCCTCTTCCCTGTGGTCTGGCTTGGACCCGCTCCAAAGAGGGTTTTCTTTTCACTAGGAAACCAAGCTCCCGCGCAGGCAGGACCGGGCTTGACTCGGGGCCGCTGAGGTCAGCCAAGCAGCTCCCACTCGGGTCATCCCGAGGTCTTTGTAGAGGGCCAGGGCACAGCAAAGAGCTGGGCAAGCCTGGGTTTCAGGGGGCACCGGGAATATTCCGTGTGGTGCTTTGCAGCCAGTGCACCACAGGGCCATAACCTGGGCCGTGGGCTTGGCTTCAGGTGCACAGAGCCAGGGCGTGTTCCCAGAGCGTGGGAAATGCAGGTCTACACTTAACAACAGCCTGCACCCTTAGTGGTGGGACCAGCACCGGGTAAAGCACCTCCTCTTCCTCCACTGGGAGAGCTGCTGATAGCTGGAAAAGGGAGGAAAATGCCAGGATGGACAGATAGTCCTCACTCCTTGCTGTGTAAACTAAACACTCTCCTCGCCCTCCATCCTGAGGCCACCTTTCCTTTCCCTAGGGTGTGTACCTGCTCAGTGACACTGCTCAGTGCATGGCATCTTGCACCTGCCCAAAGTCTTCCCTCACTTGCCTAATTAAGGTCCCTGCCAAGGGGACTGGAAAGGAGCTTTCCTTTTCTGCCCCTTGCCTCGGGCTGGTAGGAGGGATCGGCCAAAGGATGTCACAGCTAAAGGCTGAGGAGTTTTAATCTCTGAAGTCCTTCCATCACAGCCTTTCATCCCAGGTGGAGCTGAGTGAGGAAGGGGAGCTCAGCACTGGCCTGGCCTGACTGGATGTCAGGGCTTTTTCTGCACTGGGCCAAAATGAAAACCAAACGTTTCAAACTGCTTTGCAAATTTGGAATATACCAAAAGATTGGGGTTTATTCCCCCTCTCCCCCATCCACCCCACCAGTTTTGGTTTCTTCACTCACAAGAAACCACCCTGGAATTCAACACCACACCTCAGAAATCACCCCTGCTATTTGGCTTCACTAAAATGGTATTTTTGCCATAAACAGGGCTGCTCTCAAGCCCTTGAGGAAATTCAAAGCAGACACAACAGTTCTGATAACTGGCCTCCTTCAAGCTCTTACAGCATTCCCCACAGGAGCTCACCCTGTGCCTATAGACCAGTTCTCCAAGAAATCATGTTGTTTCTGACCCCTTTCAGATGATTCTGCCACAACAGTGTTGAAATACGAGTGGATCCAAAAGGCACGAGGTCACACTTTCAGCTGAAGCATCTTCACCAACTTCTACTGAGCTCTGTATCAGCTGACTACTCAAAACAACTCAGACCTTCTCTGCACCGTATTTTGCTGATCTGAGCTTTCCCTGGGCGTTTTGGCTTCGTCTTTTACCCTCCAGATGCTTCCAGGCTTTACTAATGCAAAGAGTTTAATACACCCAGCCAAAAAAAGTCAACATGTTTTTCGGGGAGCAATCAAGACTGCAAAGCAGTCGTGGCTGGATTGCGAGGCTTAAGCAAGAACTTAAGCTTTGCTTTGGGAAGACTACCAAGCACAACAACATGCAAATGAAATAACGTGCATGAATTTACAAGCTGAAGGTATGAGCAATGTCCTGGAACATGTTTGCCTATGCACATGGGGAGGTTAATAAGTCACCAGGGGCTAGAACTTAAAAAAAAAAAAAAAAAAAAAAGGAAAATGCAGGAACCCTCAGGTCCCCAGTGTGATTTTGAAAAGCCCTTGTTCAGCATCTGTCCAGCCTGGAGGATCCCAGCATCCTGCAAGTGATGACCGTGCAGTTCATGACTGAAAACTCAGCTTGGAGCACGAACAGATGAGTCTGGTTTTGACAGGACTCGGGACTTGCCTGAGTCCAGGTGGGATTCAGAACCCAAATTCTGGGAGTCGAGAGCTTCATATGATCACTCCAAGGACGCTTGACCAGCCTTGGGGGTCTTTGAAAAGCAAAGGCTTCTTCTCACAGAAGCCACTCAGATAAGCTGGTGGTTTCAATGTCATCACAGCGTGGAAGGGTATCCAGAGTGCCTGACCAGCAAAGGGCTGACACACCTTCCACCTCCTCCCACTGTGGCCTAACTGATCTTGAAACCTTTTCATAGAATCACAGAATGGTTGGGTTGGAAGGTCCCTTAAAGATCATCCAATTCCATCATTCCCAAGTCTTTCTGCTCAGGGCTGCTCTCAATCCATTCTCCACCCAGCCTGTATTTGTGATCCTGGGGATTGGCCACCAAACCCAGTTATCCCCAGTTTAGAGGCAAAGATGCTGTGTTTACCTCCCATCTGTTGGGAGCCACCCCTTCCTCTGCTCAGGAGAGACCTGATCCAGGCCTTTGGCTTGCTGGGAAGGTGCTGTAGGTGCTGAACTGATGTTTGCAAATGCCATGGAGACCCCCTGTGCCTGGAAGAGGAGGTGTCTACAGCCAGGGTGTTGGTGCATGGGTTTGTCTCCTGCGTGGCTCTGGGAGGGGTGGCTTTGGCTGGGGAGTCTGTAGGTCTTGGATCTGATTTTGGATTCAGCACGAGCTGAATTAGCTCAGCACAGACAATGAGGGACTGGAGCATGTCCAGAGGAGGACAACTAAGTTGGGGAAGGGTCTGGAGCACAAGTCTTAGGAGGAGTGGCTGTGGGAGCTGGGGATGACAAGCCTGGAGAAGAGAAGGCTCAGGGAGGACCTCGCTGCTCCCTACAACTACCTGAAAGGAGGTTGGATCCGGGAGGGAGTCGATCTCTTCTCCCAGCTATCAGGTGACAGGTTGAAAGGAAACGGCCTCAAGTTGTACCAGGGGAGGTTTAGGTTGGATATTGGGAAAAATCTTCACTGGAAGGGCTGTCAGGCATTGGAACAGGCTGCCCAGGGCAGCGGTGGAGCCACCAACCCTGCAGGGATTTAAAAGACATGCAGGCGTGGCACTTGGGGACATGGTTTACTGGTAGATGTAGCAGCTCTGGGTTAATGTTTAAACTGGATGACCTCAGTGGTCTTTTCCAACCTTAAGGATTTTACGGTTCCTGTACAGGTGAAGAGCTCACCAAACCCTGGGGAGCTTCAGGCCACACAGCCTGAAGAATTTCTGCCTTTGCCAGGAGTTGGTCCCGGCTGAACAAGCAGTTCCAGGAACTGGTTGTGGATACCGAGCCCTAAAATCTCAGTACCCATTACCTGAACTCCCCACTGGTTTTAGCCCTTACCAAAAGGGGGTAAAGGGCATCGGGGAGGGGGGGGGGGGGTATTGATAGGATTTGCCTGGAGAAGCACCGATTATTCTCTTCCCAGAAGGAGCCCGGGTGCCTTTTACAGCCTCGTATACGATGTAATCGCTCCCCTGCTTTTGAAATGCAGCCACCCCTGGGGTGGAGAGCAGCCACCACTTAACAGCACACAACAGGAAGCGAAGAGGTTGTATCTGATCGTAACTACCTGGGGAATGCGGGCGGGCAGGGCAGAGGAGAGCCGAGATCTGGCCCCGGGGGCGGGGGGCAGCGAGGTGAGGAGTTTTTGTCTCTCGAGAAAAAAAAAAAAAGTCGCAGCCCCGGATCTCTTGATGGCTCCGCGGGATTAGGGCACTGGGTTTACGCCTCCTGCCCCCTGAAGTTAAGGCGCCGGGTTCAGTCTTGACGCAGATGGAGCGGTGCCATCGGTGAATCACGTCCTGCCACCTCCCGAGTTACGGGACCGTCCTGCCCTGGCGAAGCAGCCCCGACCCTGCCCAGCATTTCGGAGCTCCCCGGGGTTGTAGCCGGGGGCGGCGTGGCCGCAGGAATGGAGCAGGAGTGGATAGAGGTGGAGATAAGCCCAAGGAAAGCACGCACTTGTAATGGAAATGAGGGGTTATTAAGGTGCCGAATAAAAATGCGAGAGATTCGGCGAAGATAGCAGGGAAGGCGGCCGCGTGTTTGTCAGGTCGCCTCATTCCTCTCTGGGTGGTGCTGGTGGCAGCTCGTTAAGGACTTGAGCTTCTGGAAAGTCATCTGGTTAACAGGGACTAACATCTCACGGGGATGTTGACTTAGAGAGCGTTTTAACCACTTGCTTTTCAGAGCAGCACAAGGGATTGAATATCTGAGACTTCCAGAGGGCCCTTAGGGATGTTTGCAAAAGTCTCCAATTCACTGGTCACTTCTGGAAAACGGGTTCCTAAAGTGCCCAGACTGTGAGTCTGAGATCCTGAATGTCCCCTGAACACCCTGGGCACAACATCTCTGACCACCACATCTCAGCAGCAAAAAACCATCTCGAGGTGCAGAAACACAGCTGAGTGTTATCAGTGGGATAATTCAGAGGCCTGAGCATGAGGTGACCCGAGCTTTGCTCTCCTGCTGTCACAGGGCTGTTTTATGTGACTTTGGGCAAATCCTGTGGTCGGTCTGTGCTTCTGCTTCCTTATCTGCACACCTGAGGACAGTCCTGCTTATCTCCTGCGGGTGCCTGCAATGCCAAATTCAGCGAGGTCTTCAGAATTGCAGGCAGAAGGTGTTGGGGATGAGCAGGGGGGTCATCAGGTTGTGGGTGAGGAAGTCAGATGAATAACTGTATAAATATCTCAACTGTCCAATATATGAAACCTGCTCTCCTGTGCCCTCCTGCCCAGACAGTGACTTATTTTCCCTGAATCCTTCTCTGAATGACTAAATGATTAACCCCAGGTCAGGTAAATATCCCAGATATGTGGGAAGAAGGACTATGGTGACACAGAAGAATTAACATAATGGTTTCTTTTGCTTGTAAAAGGCTTAAAAGTCCCTTTTTACCATACCTGTACCATAACACTGAGCCCTGTTGTCCCTGTTCCTGACACCCTAAATCTTTCCTTACTCCCTGCACAGTGGCAGTGGAAAAAAGAAGGAAGAAGGAAGGGAGAGAGAGAGGGAGGAAGGAAGGGAGGGAAGGAAAGAAAGAAGGAAAGAGAGAAAGAAAAAGAAAGAGAGAGAGAGAAAGAAAGAGA